CAGTCCTTGAAGTAGGAGGACATCTGTTATGTCCAGAAGTGGGACACTCCATCTTGGTAGTAGATGTGGCAGAGGCGGAGGAATTCTTGCAGGAGGGTGGGTGAGAGGAGGTGTAGTCATACACTTCACTAACACCTTCCACCCCAACCTTAAATTTACCTGGACCATCTCTAACACCTCTCTCCCCTTCCTGGACCTCTCTGTCTCCATATCGGGCAACCACCTCGAAACCGATATTCATTTCAAGCCCACCGACTCCCACAGCTACCTAGAATACTCCTCCTCCCACCCACCTTCCTGCAAAAATGCTATCCCCTATTCCCAATTCCTTCGCCTCCGCCGCATCTGCTCCCAGGATGAGGCATTCCACTCCCGTACATCTCAGTTGTCCTCGTTTTTCAAGGACCGTAACTTCCCCTCCTCGGTGGTCGAGAACGCCCTCAACCGTGTCTCCCACATCTCCCGCACCTCATCCCTCACACCCCGTCCATGCAATAAAAACCAAAAAAGAATCCCCCTCGTCCTCACGTACCACCCCACCAACCTCCGGATCCAACGCATCATCCTCCGACACTTCCGCCATCTGCAATCCGACCCCACCACCAAAGACATCTTTCCCTCCCCACCTTTATCTGCTTTCCGGAGGGACAACTCTCTCCGTGACTCCCTTGTCCGCTCCACACTCCCCTCCAGCTCCACCACACCTGGCACTTTTCCCTGCAACCGCAGGAAGTGCTACACCTGCCCCCATACCTCCTCCCTCACCCCCATCCCAGGCCCCAAGAAGACTTTCCACATCAAGCAGATGTTCACCTGCACATCTGCCAATGTGGTATACTGCATCCGCTGTACCCGGTGTGGCTTCCTCTACATCGGGGAAACCAAGCGGAGACTCGGGGACCGCTTTGCAGAACACTTACGCTCGGTTCGCAACAAACAACTGCACCTCCCAGTCGCGAACCATTTCAACTCCCCCTCCCATTCCTCAGACGACATGTCCATCCTGGGCCTCCTGCAGTGCCACAATGATGCCACCCGAAGGTTGCAGGAACAGCAACTCATATTCCGCTTGGGAACCCTGCAGCCCAATGGTATCAATGTGGATTTCACAAGTTTCAAAATCTCCCCTCCCCCCACCGCATCCCAAAACCAGTCCAACTCGTCCCTGCCTCCCTAACCTGTTCTTCCTCCCACCTATCCCCTCCTCCCACCCCAAGCCGCACCTCCATCTCCTACCGACCAACCTCATCCCGCCCCCTTGACCTGTCCGTCCTCCCTGGACTGACCTATCCCCTTCCTAACTCCCTACCTACACTCACCTTTCCTGGCCCCATCCCCGCCTCTTCGACCTGTTTGGTTCCTCTCCACCTATCCTCTCCTCTATCCCTCTTCTATCCACCTCCCACTCTCTCCCTATTTATTTCAAAACCCCCTTCCCCTCCCCCTTTTCTGATGAAGGGTCTAGGCCCGAAACGTCGGCCTCTCTGCTCCTATGATGCTGCTTGGCCTGCTGTGCTCATCCAGCCCTGCACCTTGTTGTCTCGGATTCTCCAGCATCTGCAGTTCCTACTAGCTGTGGGAGTCGGTGGGTTTGAAATAGATGTCGGTGCTGAGACGGTTACTGGAGATGGAGACGGTCCAGGAAGTGGGGGGAGGTGTTGGAGGTGGTCTAAGTGAATTTTAGGCTTGTGGTGAAAGGTGTTTAAAGTTGATGACACCTCATATTCCGCCCCACATGCAAACTGGAGGAACAACACCTCATATTCTACTTCCTTCCCCTTCCCCTTCCCCTTCCCCAGTCCTGATGAAGGGTGTAAACCCAAAACATTGACTTTCCTGCTCCTCTGATGCTGCCTGACCTCTTTGTTCCTGCAGCTCCACACTGTATTGACTCTGACTCCAGCATCTGTAGTTTTTGCTGTACCCTAGACTGCCAGCAAAATTGTGGAAAAGGGGTGCAGGTGAGAGTCACAATCCCATAGGTTAGATACTCTGATGCATCAGTGACCAAGATTACTGTTGTGGGGTACAGAGTTGCACTATTGCTTCCCACAAAAATAAATCCAAATTTACATTGATCGGAAATCTTTGGCACCATCGCCTATCAACCGTGGCTACTACAGACCTTGACTAGTTCCAACCTTAAAGCAGTAATTGGTATATTCCCTCTTTTAGTTTTGTCAGTGTTAACTAAGTGGTAAAGCTATCAACTCTATATTGAGGAGATTATCCTCCTTTTAATGACAGATGAGAGAAGTGATAATCAAGTCTATTGATTCAACCATTGTAGTAAGATTACTGAAAGGAGGCAGTGGAGTATCAAGAAAAAATTGGTCAAACAGCACATTTGATTGTATAATGAAACATTGTCTGAAAATTCAGTGATGGCATCATTATTCAAAGTGACAAAGAGTATGGAAAACACAACATTCCTTACATTTTTGAAACCTTGAAAGCAACCAGAATTTTACACCTACCAATCAGTTGGTCTTTACATGACCTTCTAATGTTCCAGTATATGGCTGTCTTACAACTTCACATCAGCAGCATAAGACATTCAGTGTTGCATGGTGTATCAATTTTGTACTTAGAATTCATCAGACCCTCCAGATGACTGCGAACAGTTATAGAAGAAAACTGCTTTCAGGTTTTGTGTTAAAGGAGTTATATATAAACCCTGGAAAAAGACAATTGAATAAAATTGTACTTGAAGTTCAATCTTCATCACAGTTTAAAATAGCAAAAAGCCATCATGTTCAGCTTGACAATTACAGTTTAACATTCTAACACATCTCAAAGAGCCAGAAAATTGGTTTAAATTGTAATATAGCAGTAGCGTGGCTGGAAAAGTGGTGTCATAATATAGTTTTATATATTATCACATGCTAGATATTAAAAGCCAATGTTCCTTTAAAGCAAATAGCTGTTGCCTAATGATTTTTGAAATTCTACCTCAATTATAGTTTGTTTGGCAATAAATCATGCGACGTTTTTAAGCCTTTACTGTTCTTCATACACTAATGTCTCTACCCCTTTTATATTTTATTGGGTACATTATATTTGAATATTACAGAGGAGCATTATTTACACTCCACATGCTATAAGCTTTGAGTTAATCCTGCATTTAATTTATCAATCAATCTGTTAGAGATCCTTTTTCCACTCTACCAGCACTTGGAATGGATTATAATCTGGTTTTATGACACCCAAAAGTAATCCCAGCACACTTAGCGACTTCCCCTCAACAACATCTATCAGTGTCCTCCTATTTACTGCTATTCTTTTCCCTTTCAAAATTTTTTGTGCCTCTCCCTGATTCTCCCAAATTCCATGTAAATCTGTCTCCCTTGTTTCTACCAGGAAAATGTCACTCTCTTCGTTGGAGTCATGCCCTGTGCTCCCTGCTCTTAAAGTGCACATGCAAAAGCATGTACAAAGAATACCTGTGGTTTGTTTTGCTTGTTTATTTCAGCAGAATTCACTAAATAAAGAGAAATAAATCCAAATTTAATGAATTTCCATGGCTCTGTAAACTGTGAAACTGCCAGCAGGATCTCAGGGACCATTAACAGGTGCTATGAAGTTGGGATAAAATACAAGGGTGAAAGGGTGATAAGCTTGAGTAGAGGTACCCCGATGAGTACAAACTCTACATAGTGTCAAATGCAAAAAAAATTACACTGAAATAATGCAATGTAGCAAACTGGTAACAGAATGGCTCCTGGACTATTGCCGTTAATTGGTGAGAGATTGACTTAGGCCACAGCTTGCACCTCACTGGCAGTTAGTCCTATCAGTGTCAGATAATGTAGGCCAATGACATCCATGGACACTGACAGTCAGTTACTGCACTGCAAATGAGCATAGCAATCTATAAAACCTTTTGCATAGAGTTTGTATAGCAACCAACAGAAAATCAAGCCAAGCTGCAGATTATGTTGAATTATACTGAGGTGAGCAGGATGGTCAGTGTGCCCGGAGCAGAGCCGGGTGGCCGTTGGACTAGGGACTCAGTGGCTTGCAAGCACGTGTGAAAGCCCTTCGTATTAATCTACTACAACGTAATGTTTGTTGGTAATCTGTTTATCTAACCAACGTTTATCTTTTTAAACTTTATTCCTTTATTTTCTAACTTATACTATGAATCACTATAAGGTAATGTAACTTTTTGAAAATATTTCTCTATTTTGTATCTAAGACTTGTATCTTGATACTTTGTACCTAAGATGGTGCTGTGAGGGCGACATTGTAAACTTTTCACTGTACTTGAGTACATGTGGCAATAAACCTAATTCTAATTATATATTATTATGCACAAGAATGTTTTTTTTTCATTCATATGCATGAAATATATATATACATCAATATAACCTGCAGCTTGGCTTGTTTTTACATTCTATTAACACAGTGTATACATAATATACATTATATTGTATAATACATGATATATATATGCATATAATATAGTAATAGAATATAAAAGACAAGCCAAGTTGCAGATTATATTAATGTATAGATACTGTGCACGGTGACTCAGTGGTTAGATTGCTGTTTCACAGCACCAGGGACCTAGGTTCAATTCCACCCTCGCGCTGTGTGGTGTATCTACATTCTCCCCCGTGTCTGTGTGGGTTTCCTCCTATGGTCCAAAGATGTGCAAGCCAGGCGGATTTGCTATGCTAAATTGCCCATAGTGCTCAGGGGGGTGTGGCTTAGGTATGTCAGCCATGGGAAATGCAGGGTTACAGAGGAAAGGGTAGGGGGATGGGTCTGGGTGGCATGCTCTTGAAGGGGTGGACTTGTTGGGCTGAATGGTCTGTTTCAACACTGTAGGGATTCTATGATGAATGAAAAAAATGAGAATTATATTCAGCACAATATTGTGTATATATTATATAATACACATGATATTACATCATAATTATATCACATAGTACATGTATTATGTATGTTATATTGTACTGAATATATTCTCTTTTTTTATTCATATGCACAATATCTATATTTCAATATAATCTGCAGCTTGGTTTTTTTTTAATATTCTATTCGTATATTATGTGCGTACATATATAATACATTTGATATTATATTACATGTTCTCATATATATTATGTATATGTTATATGAGGCTGAATATATCGTCAGTCCGTGTTCTGTTGTGATCTGGCCACGAATAGAACAAATGATCTCAAAATAAAAAGACCCTCTCAGAGAGTGTCCGGACCGTGCAGCAAACTGGTTTCAAGTCTCAGTTCATAGAAAACAAACGCGTCCCCACTGTTGAGAAACGATTTGAGCCGGTTTCTCAGTACTCGGCGGAGTCGGTGGGGGTGAAGAACTGCACTTTGCTGAGGAGGGACGAGGTGCTTCTCCTCATGGAGTTGTTCCTCCTCATGGAGCTGCGCTTCCTCAGCGAGTTCTGGTGCGAGAGCTCGCTCCTCTGCAGGGTCTGGATCAGGATGGACGGCTTCTCGTCGAGCTCTCGGGCCGAGCACCTCGGGGTCGCCACCTTGACGCGGTTGCCGAACTTGGAGTAGTCTACCGAGTAGACACCGTCCTCCTCGGTGACGACGGGCACGAAGCGGTAGCCCCACAGGATCTCCTCGGAGATGTACGAGGTCCGGGCCTGTGTGGTGATGCCCGTGGTCTCCACCACCCCCTCGAGGATGACGATGACCTCCAGGTTCTGGCTCTGCAGGTCACTGGCCGAGATCTCATAGAGCGGGCTGCGGCGATCCAACACATGGCTGATGGTGAGCGGAGCGACCAGGAAGATGCTGCCGCTATCCAGGGGGTTGTCCACCGGGATGTCGATCTGGTGCAGCGGCAGGATCTCGCCCTCGGCCGTGGTGCTCCTCCTGACCACTTGCATCCTGACCGAGGCGCTGATGATCATGCTCTTCCTCAGGTCGCCCACCCTGAACATGAAGCAGAGGCGGCCGTTCCTCAGGCAGATGACGGCGTGGCGGCTGAAGATGAGAGTCTCCGCCCGGCGGTGAGCCTGCGCTGTCTTCATGAAGATACAACCCAACATGACGGCGTTGATGATCAGCCCCGAGATGTTCTGCACGATGAGGCCGGTGATGGCGGTCGCGCACTCCTCGGTGATCATTCTGCCGCCGAAGCCGATGGTGACCTGCACCTCGATGGAGAACAGGAACGCCGAGCTGAACGACCGCACTTTGGTGACACACGGCTCGGAGCCTGAGCTCGGCCGGGGGTCGAGGTCCCCATGGGCGAACGCTAGCAGCCACCACATCATGGCGAAGAGGAGCCAGCTGCACAGGAACGACATGGTGAAGATGAAGAGGGTGTAGCGCCATTTGAGGTCCACCAGGGTGGTGAAGACATCCTGCAGGAAACGGCCCTGCTCTCGGATGTTCTTGTGAGCCGCGTTACACGAGCCGTTCTTGGCGATGAAGCGAGCCTGGCGGGGCCGCGCCGTGTACCGGGGCTGCCGGCGCACGTTCTCGGCGGCGATCCGGGCCAGCACGTACTCCTCCGGGATGATGCTCTTCCTGGCCAACATTCTGGCCGCATAGTCCTGGCCTTACACACACGGGGCACCCTGGCCTAGAGGGACAGAGCGGCACTCCTGAGTCTGAGATAGTAGGAACTGCCGAAGGGTCCAGACCCGAAACGTCAGCTTTCCTGCTCCTCTGATGCTGCCTGGCCTGCTGTGTTCCTCCAGCTCCACACCTTGTTATCCCCGACTCCCGAGTCTGAGTTGGGCAAACACAGTTTGTTCCTTGTACTGGGATCTGGGGCGAGAGAGAGAAATTGGCAATTCTGCCCTTGAGTTGCTAAGCAGAACACTTAGTGTGGTGTCTGAGAGAGAGGGGAACACACTCTTGATCCTCTGTAGATTAGGCAGAGCTTGGCACTTGCAGTGGTGTCTGGGAGAGAGAGAGAGATTGCCGCTTCTGTCCTCAACTTGCTAAGCAGAGCACATTTTCCTCGCTACCATCAGTTCTGTGGAACTGTCACTCGACCCGAAACGTTAACTCTGATTTCTCTACACAGAGCTGCTGAGCTTTTCCAGGGATTTCTGTTTCTGAAGTAGAACACTTATAGTGGGGTCTGGAAGAGAGAGAGAGAGACTCACACACAAACTCCTGATCCCACTCGGGTAAGCAGACCAGTTGTAGTGGTGTCTGGGAGAGAGTGTGGCACTCCTGATCCTGCACTGGTAAGTAGAGCATTTGTACAGATGTGTTAAAGAGAGATGAGAGAGTGTCTTGCCTCTGCATATGGAATATCCCTCCCATTCTGGCACCTTATTTAGTTCTTCCAGGGTCTGTGTGATTTATGCAAGTTCTGGGTGTGTGCTATTCTTGTTCACACACACTGTTGACAATTTTGTAGCCAGGCTTAATTGGAAATAACTAGCGGCGGAGCGTTATCTCATTTCGCTGATTGTCATGAACTGTGCCACATCAGTGCTTATGTGAAGCTGGTTATTATCATCCTAAGTGTAAGAAACTCTTCCAGGCTGAGAGCTACCCGGTTGTACAGTCTTTTTGAGGCTGGACAGTTCACGTGAATGCAAATCAGCGCATTCTTCCCTCCGATTTCCTTCGTCCCAGACTTTCTGTTTTTGGGTTGGGGGTGGTGGTGAGTTGACCTCTTCAATGTTTCTGTTCTTGCCAGACTGTGAGGCTGTCGGAATTAACACCTTAAAGTTGTGGCGGTGCACGCTCAATATTAAATCGCAATTACCAGCGTCAGTCCTCCTTCTGTCCTTAACATAACTTTGGCAGGGAACCACCTTTGTTAGGTTTAACAGGTAAACAGCGACAGAACCAGTAGCCGCTTAGTTCAAATATTAAAAAAAAAATGAAGTGCTGGAGAAACTCAGCAGGCCTGTGAAGAGAGCAAATAGAGTTAACGATTCGAGTCCGCTATGACTCGCTTCGGAAACCGGTCAGTTGAGATGGCTTTAAAATATTCTCATCATTCTGTCGTTTGCACCTTACAAGTGTGAGCTCAGCCACACTTTGGACTGTACGTATACATGCCTGGACAGATTTGTTACTGTTAGCACAGTTAGATAAGAACATATTGTGCTAAATTTCTGACATGTGAATTAGGGTTTGGCTTTTTCTGTTCTTTCATGGCTGGGTCAGCATTTCTTCCCCATTTCAGAGACAGAAAGCAGGGATATGCTATAACAGGGTTAGATCAAACAGAGTGGGAGGAAGCTTGTGAGCAGGATAAACACCAGCACAGACCCGCTAGAGACCAAATGGTCTGTTTCTGTGTAATACCTAAGACACATTCTTCATAAGAGTTGTGTCAGTGGAATTCGAAACCTAACCCTCAAATAGGTTATTATACATGAAGGAAAGATTGCTTCTTTCCACTTAAAAACAACTTTTATTTGATATGGATGAAAAGTTTACATATGCCAGAATTAAAACTGAAGTAATGTGACATGAAAGCATGCATGCCAGGTTCTCTAGTCAGTGTTGGCATGAACTAAGTCAAAAAGAGTTCCCTAATCTTTGTAACATGCTGTGTTCTTTGCAGACATACTCCTCTCTGCACTGTAATTGGTGGGATAGCTTCTGGTGCCCCTGCTCTCTGGGTAAACAGGTGTTAGCCTTTGGACGATGGAACTCCTATGTTTTAATGAATATACAAAATGTGAGAGATTGAAATAAAACAATAATGAGTGGAATTTTCCCAGGCCTTGAGCAGCATGGGCAATGGAGAGGAAGTTGGGAAAATGCTGAAAGAATGAAAAAATATCAAATCTAAAAGAAGAGAATAGAAGTTCCAACTTTCCTGTTATGATTTCAACAGCGAGCTCTGAATGTCACCAAACCGGTGACAAATTTATTTCCATGCACTTGCATCTCAGTATTAACCAATCTCACCTCATTTCAATGCAGCTCATAATTCTGTTCTCCCCTGAGGAACTGGATGGTGATAATTACCGATAGTGAAAGGCAGCATGGTTACCCGGACGATGCAGGTTGCTATTTGCTTCCCTGTACTTCCATTTCAAGGACTATTCACTAGCATCTCATTGCATGCTCCAATGACAGCAACCACCTCCATCCTTTGCACACAGAAATCAGATTTGGTAAACCACACATCATCATGGCTGATCTTGTGCTAACACATAATATGTATCAGCACTGTGGTGAGGTGAGAGGTACAGCCCTTGATATCAAGGTTGCACTTGACTGAGTGTGGCATCAATGAGCCCTAGCAAAACTGAAGTCAATGGGAATTGGCGGGAAAACACTCAGAATCGGGGGTGGTGGGTGATGGATGAGAAATGGTCTGCTCATTAGAATCATAACAGGCACAGTGGAAGATGATTGTGTGGTTGATGGATGTCAGTCATCTGAGCTCCAGGATATCTCTGTAAAGCCATTTTGCTTCCTTATTGCCTAGTTGAGGTTCCATTAAAGATGACACATTATCCCATTCACATTCTTGTGAGTGCCTGATAGTCAGGATTAGCCCATTCCCCTTCATGTTCCATTTGGTGTTGCCGTCCCTGTCAACCCCATAAATTTCAGACTCCCCATGTTAGAGTCCAACCATAAATGCATACAGGAGCAAATCACTGCTTATGCTAGAATTTGTACTGAAAACAACAAAAGCTGGAGATCACAGTGGGTCAGGCAGCATCCATGGAGAGAAAGCAAACCAATGTTTCGAGGCTAGATGACTCTTCATCAGAACTGAAATATATATATTTTAGTTCATTGTCCTGTTTGTGAAATCAAATCCTTGTCATCTCTGCAAAGCTGATATGATCACAGACAAACATAAAAGTGTCAGTGCATTTGCAATTTACAAACACATTCAACAGATCTCTTTGCTGCATGATGCCTGAGAGCTGCTGTCCTCACACATTGAAATGTAAGTATGTAAGAGCATGTTGTATTCAATGCTGTGTTTCTGTGTGGGCTCGGGGGCATTGAGAGTGTAATCCTGCAGGATTTATAACCTCCCAATGTTGTTTGGTCATTTGATGTGTACTACATACATCTGAATGACATGAATTAACTCAGCTGCCCATGTAAAGGCATTACATTGAATTACATTACATAGCAGCATTGCTCTCTTTCTGGGAGGCCTACGTGCTATATCAGTGTTTACAAGGAAGTCTCATTTCTGTTTGCTGTGACTGTTCAGGGAGCACATCTCTGAAAAGCTGTTTTGGTTTTGATATTGCCCACATAGTAACAGTGCATGCATCCTGAATGGATCCGAGAATGACTGGTGCTATCTTCACTGTCTCGGCCCTACACTGTCAACACAGAAGGAAATAGCAGTTACAAAGACAACTGCAAGCCCAGAACCTGTTGCACAGCCTCCAGAAGCAACAGGTCTCCTCAGGATGTGGAGGCTGATGAGGAGACCAAGCATCTAATGTCTTTGCTGTAATTTCCTTCAGATGTCCAAAGATTCAGAATACTTCCCTGCAACAGTTAAACTAACAGACAATGTGCTGTCAGCATCTTTCCCCACCAGAGACAGAGTTTGGATGTAAGCAGAGCATTGGACGTTACCCGTTCTTGACTGAGTGTGCGGTGCCTTGCAAAATGAATATAATGAATCTTACCTTCCAGAGATTTGTGCACTTATAGGTATCATGTAGGGACACACACAAATGAATGGAGCATGAGTGAAGCCAGGCTCTAACATAATGCATTTGCATTTTGATGTGGTCCAGTTGGCATTGAAGTTCAAATCATTCATCGATCTGAAGACAAAGTTCCAATAGTTCATCAGATTGGGCTTTTCATTTGGTACTCAAACAACTGTTCAAGGCCTTTCCCACAATAATTAATAGAGACTTCTAATATTTGAAGTTCCTCAGGTTTAAACTGAAGGGCTATCTTTGTTAGATTTGCTTCTACAAATTTATTATTGAGATGTTTCAAGTCTTCCTGGGACTGATGTTGAACAAGTCTTGTCGTCACTACATTTTTCATTTACAGGCTTATCTTTTGTGTGGAATGAAGGGGTTAACTTATGATAAGGGTTTGAGCAGGTTTGGCCTTAATCCAACAAACATTAGAAGAATGAGAAGTGATCTTATTGAAACGTACAAGATCCTGAGTGAACTTAACAGGATGAATGCTAAAAAGATGTGGAGACTTTAGAACTAGGAAGCACAATTTAAAAAGGGATCTCTTATTAAAAAAAGCAGAGGAAGTCTTTTTTTTTCCTCAGAGGGTTTTTATTCTGTGGAATTCTCTTCTCCAGCATGCAGCGGAAGCTGGGTCATTGAATATATTCAAAATTGAGTTAAATTGATTGTTGATGGAGAGAGTGAAGAGTTTTGGGGGCCAAATAGAAAAATGAAGTTGAGGTCACAAACAAATCAGGCATTATGTATCAAATGGTAAAGCACACTCAAGTGGCTGATTGATCTACTCTTGCTTCTAATTCTTCTCTTACATTTTTTAGTTTAAGCTTTCTTGACATGGTGTATTTAGCTTAAAAGAGATAACGAACCAGACAGTCTGGAGTGCTCAGCTAATTTGCAAATGGAATGAAAAGATTATTGAAACAGTCAAGGTTACTGAATGAATCCCTAACACTAACAGGCAGAAAGAATTCTCCTGCCCAGTACAGGCCTGTCATAATATTAATTTGCAGTCTATACTTTGAAAAATTAGAATTGTAGAATCCCTACAATACAGAAGCAGATGATTTGGCCCGTCAAATCCACACTGCGCCTCCAAACAGCATCCCAGCCAGACCCATCCCACTACCCTATCCCCATAACCCTGCATTTCCCATGACTAGCCCACCTAACCTGCACAAAAATTGACACAAACAAACTATTAAGATGACTGCTGGAAATGACGTGACTTTTGGAATTTGGACCACGGACAATGTCAAGTCTCTGGAAAGTATCTAATTAAATATGGACATAGGTGAAAGTTCCTCATTGTTTCATTATTTCAGGATGGGCCAACATCTAAACTGCCTGTCTCCATGCTTCGTACTGGACAAAATGGAAGATGAAAACTCAATGGCCAATATCGACATCTCATGGTATTACAATGGCCTCCTCCATCCAAACTAGATTGGGTGGGGTGCAGAAGTGTTACCCAGTGGATATGTGATTGCAACTGGTTTCAGAATCGGCACTCTTATTACCGCAGGATGAAATAGATCCTTCAGAACCATCAGTCATCAGCCTCCTCTGAACTGG